TGCTGATGTACTTATTAAAATCACATAACCTACCATTTATGTAGGATTGTTATTTGCAACATCAGAATCCTTTTAACTATCCCCCACGGCTGAAATAAATGTCCTTGGCTCTTCTGTCATGTCCATTGCCGACCATAACATTTCTCTCTGCTTCTGGAATACTAGCAAGTCCCCTTGTCATAGGGTGATGCTCCTTGGCAGCTGAATCAAGGGCCAGAATGTGATAGGATAATAAATTCACATTGAAAAATTTAATAAATATACACTGAATTTTATTTTTATTTTTTTTTAACTTGAGGTGCTCAAGACTAATAGTAGCTCTGTGTGCTCCTCTGAGTGATGGTGTGAAAGCAATGCCCAATTGAAGTGGAGGGATAAAATATCAATAATGAGAGGGGTCTTTAATATCCTTTAAAATGTCAGTGGGGGAATGGTGAAACCCAAGCAACCTTCCACAAATGTGACACAAAGTGTGCACTGGAAAGAATGTCAGTTTTAGAGAGGGGCTTTCAGAGGCTCATTATGTGATTTTTAATTACAGGGTGAAAGCTGGTGCACACAGAGAAGCAGATACTTCAGAAATGAGGGTCAAACTGCTGGCTTTTGAGGTAGGTACTGTTGCATGCTAGCAGCCTGAATGCTCACAGCTAACTGGATTCTGCTGCTGTGTGACTTGCTTCATCCACAACTGTGTGTGTATGAATGCATAAAACCAGGAGCAAGCAAAAGCCTGGGTGGTATCTCTTCCTGCAGTATTCAGACAGGAACTTTTGAGTCTTAGTAACCATTTCCTGGGTTTGGCAGTCTGCTTTCTGATGCATAATCTTTCCTCCTGCATTTGAGATCAACCAGGACAGACTAATCCCAAGATTAAGATGGATCAGATGAAGGGCTGTTTACACAGCAGATGCTGTCATGTGAGGGCTGAGTTCCTCTTGTGACAGAGCAAGGCCATAGAGCAATGCAGATCGTGAGGAAAATCCTGTTTGTCTTGACTAACTGTCAACTCAGTCCACTGCAGAAAAGAAACTGCAGCAAGTATGCAATTGAGAGACTGAATTAGTGGAATTCTAACCCAGACTTGTATTTATGTCTCTGTGAATAAGTCTGCAGTAAGGTTTGCATTAGTTCATGTTTAACTTGTTGAGTAGCAGTTGGCATGGTCCTGGAGCCAGCTACAGGCAGGGCTGCCTGCTGACTATGCCAAGGATTGCACTGTAGAGCTGCACATTCGCTATACTGGAAAAGAGACCAGAGTGAAGAGATGCTTTCAATAATTACTCAAGCAAGTCTAACAATTAAGTCCTTTGATACTACTGAGATTTTACTGTAAAATCATAGCAGTTTATTTCACTCTCACCTTTTGATGAGGCCTTTTAATAAACAGAGAAAAAAAGGCAATAACCTCATGAGCTGTAGCTGTTATTTCAGTATTTAGCCGGGAGATCTTACTGTCATGTCCTTCCAATATAAAATGTGTTACAGTTCCTATGACAACTGTGCCTCTCTCCTCTGGAGCATGGATTAATGATAGCATTTCATTACATGATCATGTAACACTGGGCACTGTGACAGCCTTGTCATCTCCCCTCTGGTGTTTGCTCCTAAATGGCATTTAGCTGAAGCTCACTTGTATTGTGCAGAACATGAATTGGAGTGACTGACCTTCCCTGTGCTTACTGCCTGCCACCTCTGCCTTCCCAGCTTCCTGCTTTTCATTAGTAAGTTCACCTTCTACTAAAATACTGCCAGAAATATCTATAAATGTATTTCTGTGGTGGCACTTCTATACACTGACTAACATTAATTAACAATGGTATCTTAACAAGTACACTGAATACCAATGCTATCAAACGAATCTGCTGGCAAAAATTCTTGAGTATAGCAGTCAGACCAGGCTATGGAGCAGGTTTCTATATTTACTTCTGCAACAAAACACTTAAGAAAAAATATAACAAGTTGAACAGATATATTAAAAGACTTTATTCACAGTAGAGAAATTTTTACAAATATAAGTTCTTAAAAATTAAGCATCTTGATCTATTATGTATTCCATAATTTCACTTTTCTATAAAGATGAAAATACTAAATGGACTATGTACAAATTAAAAACAAATGCATTATAGAAATGGATAAAATGTATGATGAAGTCACCGTAGAAACAGTGAGCCATTAGGCATTGCAAAAAAAATAAATTGTGTACAACCAACACATATGCAATACTTATCTCACAATCAAAGCTTTTTTTTTTTTTTTTCCCCCATGAAACAATGTGGGTGCCATTTAAAGTGATTAACCTCTTAGGATTTAAGATATGCAGATTTAAATGCATTATTATGCTACAAAGAAATGGAAAAGTGTTTATGTGAAGATAATGCCTGCCTCCTCCTCCCTCCCCAATAAAGCAATTTATTTTACCCTTATGAATGACTGGGAACACAACGTGACTATCACTAGCCACTTCCATGCAGCTAGTTCAGAGAGTGGGAAACAAAACAAATGTTATTTTAGCATTCTAATAAGCAGTGGTAAGTACTGCCTGTTTCAAAATGATTGCTCTAACTTTGGTGTATTGAGGTTATTAAAAAAAAAAAAGAAAGAAAAGAAAAATCAATATATTCTCAGTTTATGAAAAGGTTTCTTACAGTTGGCAGATCTACACGTTGTACAATCTTCTTGTCTACTTACATTAGTTTACAAAAAGTACAGTATAGTGCAGTTTGTACATACAACCTGAATACCAATACCAGTCACATCAAATTTGTGCTCTTTCAAATAACTGTAACTCTCAAATTAAAAAAAAAATAAATTAAAAATATTAATATGAAATGTCTGTATTACAAGGATAGAGTCATGATGCTTGTGTTAAAGCACATAGGATCCAATGCATACACTGTGTCAGGTGTTTGTAGCCTTTTTGAAATATGCCAAAGAGCTGTCTGGTTCTCCACTATTTCTCTTCTGCTTCTTAAGTAAAGGCAAGATCACTAGATGCATCTGGGAGAAGTATATGGTGGATAAGAAAACCATGTAAAATGAGGTTTACAAAACACATTTCTCAAATACTTTTTTTCTGAGCTGTTGCAGTTATTTAACTGATATGAGGCCTAGAGCGACCATGTGGTAGGCAGAGCAGATGACCCAATAAAGGTAACCAAGACAAAAGTAAGAATTATTACTTTTGGTTAAAGAGGGAAGATACTTTTGTATCTTTTGTTGTAATTTCTCTGTGGTACTTGGAGGTAGGGGGGAAAAAAGCTCCCTTTATAAATACTGTTTCTGAAGAAAGAGAATCAAATATTGTAGTCCTCCAACAATACAAATTCTGGGGTTTCAAAATGACAGCAGTTCTGCTTTTCAACAGAGCCAAGACTTTATCCTTGCTCATTCAGTTTCAGAAAGCTGTTACTGTGACATGAGGGAATCATACTTAAAAAAAATAGAATAATCCTGCAACTAGTAAAAGGCAGTAAAGCAAAAAGTCTTGAACCAATGTGCACATTCCATGTAAACAGACTTTATGTGAGGCAGATACACATACATTTGTATCCATCCTCCCAGTGCTGGGTTGCCCAGGCTCTGCAGGTACCCCTGTTAGCTTGCATGTACAAGTGCACAGCTCTGCCGGGCCTGCCATGGAAGGTTCAGCATCACTGAAGATCCTTTTGCCTTGCTCCATACATTAATGTCTTTGGCAGCTCATGTAGCACATTCCACCTTCTCTGTCTGCAAGCGAAGCAGATGGGCAGTGCTGTCTTTACAGACTCCAGAGGGTCAAGTTTATGGGTCAGCCTCCAGCTGTTTATATATATATGTAAAAGTAATCGATTACCTTTGCTCTTGACTTCTACCTAAGAAAACTTACGCAGACCTCTAGTAGTATAGAAAAAATGTACTCTGTAATGAATGAACAAACAAATGTGCTTCCTCAGCTGTGGGTAACTATGCTGGACATGTGAGCTATCTTACTAAATAACTTTAAAGAAGGTTACTGTTCAGAACCATATTTGTTTTGCTGCCATCCAATCAGTGAATAATGTGCTTTCTCAAAATGGGAAGCAGGTGTTATAACCTACAAAAAATGTATGAAAGTCATCCTGTCACTAAATGAAAACACACGTAGACTTAATCACATAAACCACTCCAAACTATACATTGTGCCTCATTTTTTTTTCCCTTTGGTGATGCCACAAAGTAAAACATTTCTGGCCAAGGTGTCACCTTTCTTAGTAAGCCAGGCCTCTGTTCTAGGGAATAATTTCAAGCACCCTGTGCTTCTGTCACTTGGACAAGACAGACTTGGTGCTTTCAGAAAGTTTTAGTTCTACATTAGGTAATTCCCTGTCTGAATGATTATCATCTTAGAAGGACAGAAGTTTTCTTTAAGCCATCTGAACATCTAATTTTATTCATGTAGATAAACTTAACTGTTTTGTGACAAACTATTGTCTGATGTGAAGTCTAAACCAATCTGAATGTTTGACAAAGTCCCTGAAAACTAAACAAGTTATCTCTGGTATAATGCTCAGCTGTGTTTCCAAAAGAATGGCCTCAAGTATTATTCCTTTGTCTTTTTACCATCCAAACAAATGCAAGCCACTGGACTAACTAAAGAAAGAAGTTAAGAATCCCTTTTACTTAATAAAAAAATTACTATCTTATTTTATCCCATAGTAGCCTGACAGAAGCTATGAGAATAACACCACTTAGAAAAGAGAGGAAACAATTTATTCTACTACAATATTCTAATCAAAACCTGAAAAACTAAGGTCTGCTAACTAATGTGCTAAATTCATAAAAACTAAGTTTAGACTAACTTCAAGGTATACTGCAGTTTCAGAGTTGTGTCTGCATGAGATGAAAATATTCCTATGTTGACTTTGTTGACAATGAAATACATCAGATACTTTATCCAGTAATGATAGACCCGCATAAGAAGAGGCTGTCACAGTCACAAGATTTGTCTTGAATGACACACAATACAAATTAACATAGAACAAAACAAAAAAAGCTCTTCATACTTATTTCAATATGGCTTTTTGCAACATGGCAAAATATTACAGCTTAAAGCAGACATCTCCTCACAGAGGAGAAGAGAATTTTGCAGTCAAATTAAAAGCATAAGAGGAAACAACATGCAGACTCTTTGCTCTTTTTGGCCAAGATGGCAGTGCAGCCTAACAAAAACTGGAGGGATGTCCTGTTTCTCTTCTAAGAAGTGGTTCAGCTGGATAAAAGGAATTAAGTTTTATCATAATCAGTTGGGGTCCATTCATAAATATTTTCTGTTAAAGAAAACAGACTGCAAAACACTTGATTTATAAATTTAACTTGGGAATTTAAAACCAAACTATGTGCCCAAGTCCTGGAAAGAAACATAAGGAATGAAGCAAAGTTTAACTTAATCTATTTCTCATTTTCTTCTTTATTCCCATCATCTTTCTGAAGAACAGGGAGAGGATGAGCCTCTGTGTTGAAGACCCAGTGATCGAATGGAAGAAGATCATCTTCAGAAAACAGCAAATACAAGTACCTGTAAAAAAAAGCAGGAAATGTAACCATATCAGGGAAGTGAAGCTACAGTAGTTTTCAGAAAAACATAAATATCTGATTTCCCTATATGAATCAGTCGTAACAGCTGACCAAACACTAAATACCAGTAAGTCCCAGCATCACAATTTAGGGCTTCTCAAATCAAGATCGGACTCATGGACAATAGCAACTGGAGACCAACAAAATAACACCTCTATCCTAATAGAGGACAAGGAAGGTGAGGCTACCACGGTTAAATATCAGTTAATTTCACTTCCATTTCATCCTTTGTAATTTTATTACATATTGTTTTGATAATATACAACCACAGTCATTTTTTTCATCCTGAACATCCACATATATCAAGGTGTAGGAATGAAAATACTGTAGTCTAATGCTGTCTTAACTCTGAGAACAACCAGTGGCTTAGGATTTTAAAAGAAGAAACTAGCACTAGAGTGGGAGGTTGGGCAGCCATTTACTAAGATAAGGTCCATTACAACCAACAGTAAACAATAACCAAATCCAACATTTTATTTACTGTTCTGATACAGGGTAGTAGCTACTGTAGCATGATTAGTGAAATTTGCTTATAAATGAAAGTCTGCTTCACAAATAAAATTTAATTTTTTCTCAATCACTATCCTTCCCTGAAGGCTTTTCTTGGTCTGATAGGCCAATTTAAAAGGTATTGTAGAGGCAGTGCACTACCTCAAACAAACAAAAAACCCAGGATGTACATAAATGTATTTATGATATTTCATTTACTTGAGTATCACGTTTTCTGTTGAAATGGCATGATTGTTGCTTTCTGGTCTTTGCAACCTTCCCTTGCACAGCAAAAAATCCCCATGAAACACACAAGACACAACTTCCTTTATTTCAATAAAAAGTGGGAAGATGGCGATAGATAATGAAAGCTTTTGGTTTTCTTCTTCACAAGCCACACAAACTTACCATGCAAGTTGACTTCTTTTTTTGGAAGTTTTAAAATGAAAAGTATGCAACAAGCCTGATAAGTCCTCTGTCTACTCAATTTGTTTCACTAGTGTCAGACTATATAATTAAATCCTATCAAAGCTAGATGTAGTTTCTCAACAAAGACTATTAGGTACTTGTATCAGAAGATGATTTTCAAAAGTCACAATTTAGTTTCTTGATGTAGAAGGGAAAAAAGGCAATTTTCCTTCCCATCACCTAATAAAAGCTCTACTATGTCAGTCAGATTTTGCTGTATGTCAAGGATAATGATAAATACATCTATATAGGTGATAAACAGAACTACTTAATATTAATGACAGTCAATTTTCTTTACTTACTTGAGTGTCTCTGAAAGGAAGAAACTTTGCTGCACATCGTCATGGCTTTCATGATTGTTATAAACATCTCTAAGGCCAGAATAGCCACCATCTACCCTGCAATGTTTTTCCAGTGCCTGAACAGGGGGGGGAAAAACATAGTGGCATTAAGAAAATGAATCACCTGTCATTTTTAATTTGTTTCACAATAAAACTAGCAAAAAAACCCTCACCCTGTCACAGATTTTTTTATAAAGAGATGAAAACTAGATAAAGCCCTAAATATAAAACTCTTTATAAAAAGACATAGGCACACATGTTGAATTGTACATGTAGGAAGAGAAGTAAATTGAGAAGTTAATAATCAAAGAAGTGAACACAAACCAGTATTCAGATGGAAAGATATTTGAATACATGGATGTAAAGATACATAGATTTTAATTTATTTTCCTTTTCCTCTTATTAAAAATAGGAATAACAATAGCCTTTCACCTCGCAGATTTGTCTATCAGCTTTCAGAGATTGTGTCAAATATACCTTGGTCATATTTTAGTGCTTAAAAATTATAGCGATAAAATTGAATACCATGATAAAGACCCATCTTTTTCTTACCTCCTGTAAGTAATTTTGAAAAAGGAAAGGCAGCTCTCCATTTTCTATGAAATTTGTTTGGTTTCTCTTTGCAATTATTTAATTTTTCCCCTGATATTGGCTTGTGACTGAATTTCTTTTATGCAGTAGGTACAATTTTCCTTTGATATCTTTCTGAAAAAGCTTTGTCTGTTACACAGGAGTAGATGGAAAACTAGTATGTGGCTGGACTCTATGGAATATGTTTACATGTAAAAATAAGAATGTATTTTTCTCTATCTAGTTTCCAAACTGTGTGAAAAGTTCTAAAACAGGTGATTGATTCCTGTTTTACCATTAAAACGAGCACATGGATCCCTTAAAAAATGTAATTTCTGCCCACAGGAATGTGATCAGCTAATTTTGAAGAAGAAAACAGATCAGATGATGGGTGCATACAGAAGGGCAAAACCCCATCAACCTGGTGCTGGAAGTGTAGAAGGTATATACAGTTTTACTGTTTAATAAACTTTGCTGCTTTTCTTTATTTTAGATTGGTGATTGCATTAGAAAGTGGTACCTTTATACTTACGTATGAGCTGTAACACTTTAAAATTGACGGCTTTCAATACCTTATTTAAGTATGAGTTCTCTTACCACCATTTTGTTTAAATATAGTTATTAATCTTTTTTCTTTGTAATTGACCTATTTCACAAGGTTGAAAGTATTCTTAGCTTCTTCAGTTTTCTAGTTGTTTTGTAATAACTCTCTGGTATGATGCAGCATAATAAAGGAGCAAAGGGAATCTAAGATGATTATATTTAAAACAACTCACTATTCAAAACAAACCCAGAAAGTGTTCTCTAGCCCTAAATATTTTTTTAAAATGAAAATGACAATAAGGATGATGAATTACTACATTTACTCAGGACCACACTACTCTGAAACATGGTGCCTGCTGTAGAGACAGGTACTGAAGTAACAACTTTCAGGCAGAAATAAATACCTGCAGCATTATCAAACCCCCAGTGGTGAGATGGAACACAACTGTTTCCTCAATTTCTGAAGTGACTACAAATATCACTGAAGTGATAGATTTCATTCACAGAAAGGTGCTGCATTTCAAACCACACACAGCAAGAAGATATGAAAAGGCAGAAGATACGTCTAAGCCAAGCAAACAGACAGAATAAGCGTTTTCTGATGAGAAATGGGAATAAAAGTCACTAATAATTACTGAGGTATCCATCACCTCCACTTGCTCTAAGGCTGTTCAAGATCTGTGTTTTGCTGTGTTCAGATATCCTAAACGTCCTTGTTTTTGCTGGAGTCCCTGTAGCTATCTGCATATATTTAGCTTGCATGTCAGGCTCTCCATAGTCTTCACTGGAGACTAAGCTGCCTATTGTGTATTTTAAAAGAGATGTTTCTCTAGGAGAGATCCTTTAAAGTATAACAGGCCTATTTATCTTTTTTTTTTATGTCTTTAGGTTCTTTAATTTTCCTGGACACTTTTACTAAGTGACAAATATACTTAAGTTTAAACAAGTAATTTCCCCTGGCTGGTAGTCCTTCCCTCTTGCCTACTCCAACCTGCAATGAATTCAAACGCTGAATCTGTGTCTGGACTTTCAATGTCAGACACAAGATTATGTTTTCCAAGGCACAGTAGAAGGAGAACTTGAAGGACAGGCTATTATTCAAGGAAACATCTGCATTCTAAACAGAGTGAGGTGAAAGAAAAGCAAATTGCATTTGGAGTTTATGTGCTCTAACATGTAGTTAGAGCCTTCTTTGTAAGTTCATTGTAGGGAGATACCATTATAGGTACCTGAACATACTGCTGTGATGGAAACTAAGAGGTTAACTTAACTCTTACCATCTTAGCCATTTAGTGGTATCTACTTAAGGCAGATGTGAAGCATCTTACCCCTCAAAACTACTTTACACTTAACTAAAGGAACAGGACATGCACGTGCGGCATTAGCATGAGGAAAGAAAGGGCTCTTGGTTGTCACTGTCCTTCAACTGCCAGTAATGGTCTTTTGTGCTCATACTTGCAGTTTAAGGAGTACAGTGATTTCACATTGACAATGGCATAGTGGTGGGTGGGAAGAAACAATCAAACACATTTTAAATTAGTAGCTCTCAGAAAATGAGGGTGGCTAAGATCAGTTATGCTGGAGTAATGGAAAACATCAAGCAGAGTGAAAACTGGCTGACAGCCTCAAAGTATCATAAAGGGAAAAAACAAAAGAAGTGCTGTGAATTCAAAATATGTGCTGCTGCAGAAAGGGAGACTTTCAAGAGCTAGGCTGATAAAGCCCTTCTGACTCAGTAACAGTGGATATTGCTGTTGGTCATTAACTGTATTTTTTCCAACTGCTGAAGTACATACAGAATGATCCTGGCCTCAAAGCAGAAAAGCAAGTTTCTCAAAGAAAAAATGGAGAAGCTAGAGCATGGGTTTAGTTTACAAAAGCTAGAGAAATAATTCATAGACCTGCTGGAGGGTTTAGAAGTCATGACCTATATATAAAGCAGCCTCCTCTTCTACTAGAAGGGCACCGGGAAACAAACCTAGTGAGTTCTTATTATCAGTGTCATGAGCTGAAAATGGACATGACACACCTGAACAACTTTTTTTGGTAACACAAATGGTCTGGCAGTTGCCCCTTTTTTCTTGTTTCACTTTCAGCTTCCTCTTTGTGCACCAGGTATCGGTGATTAACCATATTCAGTGGTCAGGGACTTCCTCAAAAACAGAAGGGTGGAGTGATGTGCTCTCTGGTGCAAGAGGAAGTAGAATTTATGAAACAGTTGTGATAAAATATCATGACACATGCTGGAACAAAAAAATACAGTATCAGGTGGAGCTGTATGGGCAATAAACATCAAAGAAGAAGAAAAAAAAAATAATAAAAAAATACTTGAAACCTACAACTGCCTGTATAACTTCTGGGAAGCTGTAAGATTTCTTTTTGTGAAACAACCAGATGCACGTTAGGACAGTGGAAGATGGGTCTGTACAGAATGACACCAGCTGTATCTCCCACACATGGGCTCTAATCCACTATGTTAGAGCCAGAGGAGAGTAACCACAAGAATGTTCAACAAAGAACACGTGGGGAGCACTAAGAAGGTAAATGAGTGTACAAACTTCAAATAAACACAAACAAACTGAACTAACAGAATAAAGAATAATATTAAGGAAAACATTTCAATTATGTATAACAATGTTATCAGTGTGGACAGCAACAATGAGTCAGGCAAAACATCTCCTGGAGAAGGAAGGAACACTTGGCATTGGTGAAGCCTGGTGGGATGACATCCACAAACAGCCATTGTAAATGTTCCAATTATAATCTGCCTGGGAAGATTCCAGTAGTAAAATGTGTGCCTATGAGGGGAGTGTGTGTGTGTGTTAGTGAAGAAGAAAGTACAGGAACAGCACTCTAAATTGGAGTTTTTATTTTAATAAAAATTGCTTTGGAATCATTAACTCAGAAGCATATTGTTTCAGGGCTGATAGAGGCAACACCTGAGCGATGCAAATAAGATGTCCTAAACAACTACCACCTACCTAGCTGAAAACAGAGTTGACTGCAGCTATGGAATTGCTGTGACTATTCCAACAAGGAGGAGTTAGAGCGTAAATACGTAGTTAATGCTAGCAGCTATTCTTTAATAGGAAGCAGATTTTACTATGTCATTCTTCAAGACTATCTAATTACTGATATTTTCACAACACTCAGCAACATTTGCATGACATTTGAGATACGACCAGTATCTCAGACAGTGACTACTGAATACAATTACAGATCTTGGCTATTTTGAGGGAGCCAGGTAACTGGCAGACGTCATGTTGCAGCCAGGTATATGGAGTCATAACCCCAGAACAGATCTGTACTAGGGTCCATTGGGGATGAGAAATTGCAAGTCAAAAGTCTACAGACTCTTTCCTTAGCATAGAGCAAACTGCCACAACTAGTGCTGTAGGCCCATCCAAGAAAGTTATAATCATACACTCCTAGGAGAAAGAGGTGCTGGGCAAACTGACAAACAGGATGTTTTTTAAATTCTGGAAAGCAAAGGAAAGGTCAATACGAACAAATACTGCAAACAGTTTTGTTTTCTTGGGGTTTTTTTTTGTATTTTTCCTAAGTATACAGCGCTGTGAAAATAATGTTCTTCAGCTTCCTGTATCTCCTCTAAGATCTCAGTCTGCTTAAAGATTGCAAAGGAATAGAGAAAGGCAGATAATATAGCAAGGGCAACATCAATGGGAGGAGAAATATGTGAACTCTACAAGTGTAATGATGACCCATACCTGGAGGATGAAACATGGTAAATCCAAAGGCTCTCATCTCTAACAGTAAGAGTAATTAATCAGTGCAATAGGGGAAACAATGCATTTGGTAAACCAATTATAGACTAGCTGCCCTCTTGGAATGCTTTTACTAGACAAACACAAATAGCTAGGCTCAGCATGACCAGTTGAAGCTCAAAGACAAGTGAGACACAGAAATTTAAAATTAGAAAAGATTATCATTAATGGAGTTCAGTCCAGATGACTTATGCTCTTTGCAAGTGACTAATTTTTTAGAGTGTTTGGTACTACCTAGTACTTTCTCTTGGCCTTTGTCGCCTTAATTAAAAATCACCTTTTTACAATTACTGTTGAAAATACACTTCGTAAAACTTATGAGTCCTTATGAGAACTTATGTCCAAAGCTGAAATTTGACATACATTTGCTCTTCCATTCACATGCAGTAATACTCGAGCAGTATATCCAAATATGACCCTGATCTGAGAAGTATTTAAGGAGAAATCACAAGGTAGTTTTCTAATATACAACACCAGCAGTATTTGCTTTTTTCAAAATTATCTTAATTCATCTGTTTAGTAAATGACTCTCTAAGAATTTTGTGTTGATATTACTGATTTAAAATAAATGTTTATTCTCCAGCTGCTAAACAACATCCAGATTTCATTCAATAGCTTACAGAACAACATATTAGGATTTAATAAAAAAGAAGTCTAACAGAGCATTACCTCTACAGCTTCCCATCCCCACTGCCTGTACTTCGGGTCATGAGTGAGGCGCCACATGTACATGTAGGTCTCTATGACCTCGGGTCGTAGGATGTAGTATTTTTCATTTTGTCTTGTAGCAATGGCCTCAACACCACCATCAAATCTGAAGGCTTCTGGTCCCAGTTTCATGCCTAGCCAATATAAAAACACAGGCTCAAATTTAAAAAGCTTTCAAATTATGTAGCCTAGCAAATCAACTACCCATTCATGTGGCATAAAGCCAGGATACCCAAAAGGTATATAATTTCTGAAAGAACCTGCAGCAGCTCCTTTTTAAAATATTTTCTAAATAATTCAGAGCAGGAGAGAGCTCTTCTTCATCAACATTTTAAACAGCAGTTCCAGTTTGAACAGGCATGCTAACATTTGCATGCTGGAAGACCTCCTGTAACTAGCAACATGTGAAATTTTGCTTTAAAGACAAGGATATTTACTTTTCTCTATCAAACTGGAAAATACACTCTGGGACCTGAAATGCTGCCAGGGTTGTTTTTATAAGAAGATTAAAGAATCCAAAGACATTTGAAGTGTAGAAATCCACTTTCTTTGTGTAATTCTATTGTTTGCAGCATTGTACTGTACAACAGAACTAAGAATAAAATATTTTTTGTGTGCATAAAACATGATTAATAGCTATATGGATGTATAAATGAACAGGCTGCCTCTCTTATTTGTTTTTGGCTATACAAAATTGGGAAAGTGAAAAAAAAAGGCTGTTGTGTTAAGTACTAGAGTGAGGAGATATGCTTCAGGTGCAGAGAAATTATTTATAAACAAAGCAGCCATTCTTGAAGTTTCTGTGAGAGCAAAGCAGCATTTGCTCAGAAAGGCTGACAAGTCCTCACCATCATACAACTTTAATTCAGCATTAGACAAAGTCAAACTGTGAAACTGAATTCAGCAACAGAGCGCTTACTTGTCCGGTCATAGGATTCATGGCAAGTCCTGGCAATTTCAGCACCAAGCTCGATGTGATGGCCTGTCTTGTCATTGGGTGCTCCATCTGCTCCAAGAGCAAACATGCCTCCAGCAAAACAAGTCAGATGTCCCATCTTATGCTCAAGCAGTCCACCCTTCCACTCAGCGATGTATGTCAGTCCGCTGCTTGATTTGCGAATGAGATGGGTCTCTATGGCCTGAAACATACATGATTTCAAACCCTTTGGTAACATTTGGTAAAGTACACAGGACAAAGACAAAGCTGTCTTATATGGTGGTTGGATTTTCTCCATATTGCCTTTGCTTACAAAGGAAAATGGATACCATGAGCCAGCATATCCTCAAAGTGCAGCCAAACCAACACAGATTAGTTCACATCAGTAATGATTAATTTTGCTACAACTTGGAGCCATTTATGCAGCACAGTTTCTAAAAAATATTGGGAAGACCTAAAACATACAATTCAATTTTAAGATTTGTTATTTCCTTCCCTTTATACTTTGAGCAGTTTCAGGTAATTTCACTTCTAATGGCAATTAGCCATCACTTGATTCCATTCTTCCCATTTTAATTCTGACTTTAAGGGATGGGCTTAATGATACCATTTCATGTCAATTACATGCAGACATAACTCATATTCAAAATGCCTGACTCAGTGAGTGCACTGATTAATGTCAGGTCTCTGAGTCTATATGGCATTCCCAAAATCCAGTGAATTTTCCCTCCCAGACTGAATACCTCTGCAGTTATCAATCTAGAATAGGGTCTGGAAAAAAAAAAACCCAAGCAGAATAAAAACATACACATCTCCTAGAGAGAGAATGTGAAGTTGGTGCCATTGGCAACAGTGACTGATTATGAAATCCAGGAAAACAACCTTCCCTTATGAGAGAAACAGAATTAAAACAACAGAGGAGAGCACCTTAATTAGAAGCCCACACATAAAGTATGCTATCACTCTTTAAAGGGTAATGGAGAGGAGACAAACTTCAGCAGTATTCTGGTTTATTCTATTGAAATTGTAAGATCTAGAAACAGTTCTCAAATTTGCATTACACAAGAGAGAAAACGTGAACAAAATATCAGTATGGAGAACTATTAACCAGAGAGCCAGGATTACAAACAAAACAAAAACAGTGTTATGAAGAGAACTACATTGAATGTAGTTATTCCTTCCCATTTAAACACCTGTAAAGGTTGTTTTTATAAGCATGAAAAATCTTCTCTAATCTAGAAGCATGAGCAGAATAATTCTACAAGTTTTATTTACCAATTTTTTTTTTGCTCCTGCCAAGAATATGTCACTGAAAGCTACGCTTTATTCTCCACTACTATTAGAGCAAAGCACTTAGTAAGGAAGTCTTCTACCCACCTCCAGACCCATTACTGGCTCAGAAAACTTCACCATCCCTTTCTTTCTTCCTTGATTGTATGTTTTTAACACTAGTACCTACTGAAAAAAAAACACACCTAAACTTTAAAGCAGCAGTAAAGAAGATTAAAGATTCCTGTACTTTAAGCAAATCCTGCATAATTTAACCTATAAAAAGATGAATTCAATATGAAAGAGGAAAGGTGGAAAAACAGTTTCCTTAAGATCCAAACTACACACACCACTGTGGAAGATGAAAGAATTACAGAAGCTGAGTTGGTGTCAAGCTAATTTGTGGTCATGTATTCCGAGTGCATATAAAAAAGCTTTACTGTCAGACTGGGAAACTAGCAGGGGAATAACTAGGTACTTTAAAAAAATATATTCTGTAAAACATGTTTTTTGTGCTCATTTGGGTATAAAATATTTGAATTTATAATTAAAGAATTGACAGAACAGGGTTCAAAGAACCTGCTACAAAATGTATTAATGTATAAGCAGGCTAAATTTATGAGAAGATAGAAATAATTAGAAAACTTCCAGAATCTTTCAGAGTTCTGTTTGCATTTTTATTAAACTTTTAATATTTTGTAATAGGATGCCTTATTGTTAAAAACACACATAACTGTTTTGTGGGAAATAGGTTTCAGACAACTTAAGCATTCTAAAAAATGAGCTACCCCAAAGCAAGTACAGAAATGAGAAACTTTTAATTAAATGATACTTCATTAAACCTTCCAGCACGGTACCTACATCTCACCAAATCAACAACTCTGGCAATAGTTAACTCTACTGGTCACTGAGCTGTTCAGTCAGAATTTATTTTAAAAATAAACAAATATGAAAATAGATTGATGACTAGATTTACAGAATTTATGGCAGAATAAAGTGTTACTGTATCTGATAGAAATAACAGTAATCAAGCACCTTCTGAAGTACAGTAACTAGACCAGAGTTAATTCTTCTAGTATGATAACTGATTTTATGCTACCATTAGTCTTTCAGAGATTTTTTTTTCCCCTCTTTTGGCTCAAGATTAAGGTTCAAGCTGAAAAAAAGATAAATTCTGCTTGGGAAATTTTAAAGTTATTCTCACAAAGTAGTGTTAAGAAGCTAACAAATTGATGTTAATTGATGCCAAGAATGTAAAAAAACCAAAAATATATTTCCAAATTAATTTTTCATGTTTAGTAAAGCAATCATCTTGGTTTTATAAATGGATCCTATTAAAAACTATTACATATGCCTATTATAAGTTATTTTTATTGTGTAAGCATCTTATTTAATACTATTTTAATAAAATAACCTTTAGAAGCCATAGGTCTGTGTGCCAAATTTGTGAGCCCATCAGCACTCACCAACTCTTATTCTGGAAGACTGGAAAATGAATACTCTAACTTGGTGAAGCCTAAACTTCAAGTTACATCCTTATGAAGTAATAGTTTGTACAAGTTAGACAATTTAAGTAAACTGACCTCAACCAAAGAGCTTTGATGAAGCATGAAAAGGCAGAGAAGAGTTTCTTCCCAGAGGACTGGGTAGCTCTTCTTGAGCAACTAAATCTGAGAAGGTTCTTCATGGGTCATTTTTGGTCTGAGCTAGACAAACTGTTTTTGTCAGAAACAGGTTTCCCTTCTCTCATCATTATTAATCTAACTTCCAACTGGAAACACAGACTAGCTGCTTGCTCCAAAACAACATTCATCAAAGGCTTGCTAATGAATTTGCAGTATCGAAGTTGCATGAAGTTTAGAATAATTCCAGCATGGCATTGAGGTGTCAGATTATAATGAATTCATTAGGTGTGCTCCAGTTGTTCCAGTAACTTAACAGTAAAAAAAGTTATCATTATAACAAATCAGCCTATTTAGAAACCCTCAAATTATATGTTTTATATCTAAAAAAGAAAAAAAAAAAGTTTAGCAAGAAATTACAGACTCATGTATTGCAGGATTAAGATGTGGGAGAACTTTGCTTTTCCTGTTAAAACCAACCTATCTAGAGTTCATTTCAGAATATAGTCCCAAATATTGTTAAAGCACTACTTCTGGAATGTGTAATGGTTATATAATGCATCTGTGTAATAAAATATTTCAGAGTAAACAATAAATAAAAATCAGCACTCTTTCAACTGCCAATTCTGAAACTATACCCCAAGTGCCAAAGCCACCTATAAGGAATTCACAGAACTGCTATTCACATTTCTGATTTTGTTGTTGTTGCTGTTATAATATAATGGTATGTACTGCTGTGAGCAGCATATGAAGTTATTTTTCAGTGAGATTTTCACAAACATTCTAAGTGCCATCAAACTGGATTAAACTTTCTGAACAACATTGTGGGTTTTTTTTCAATAAGCCTGAGGTATATGGCAGGATTAAATCACAAGCTGGATGGAATTCATAGACAATTGTTTTAAATATAAAATAACTTGAACATAAAGTTGAGAAAGTACACGGATGAGGAAGAAATATTATCAGTTTATACAAAGATGTAATAAGGGTATCTGAACTTCAGCAGCAGGATGAAAAGGCAGGGTTGCAATCCCATAGGAAAATGCTATTTGCTATCTGCAGTGCTGTGGGTGTAGTTCTGGCAGGGAAATCAAGTTACTAAACCAAGTTATTACAAAAGGAGAATAGGTAGTAACGCGAGGAAGATCCACCCAAGAGAAAAGCTTTGCTTGGCAGAATTTTGTATTTCCTACTTAGAATCAATTTACTTACATAATTATCTACACTACCTAAAAAAGTGACATGTTCCTTTCAATTGCAGATCTATTACAACTTGGACCCCACCTATAAATAATTCCTTCCTGGACTACTCAGAGATCAGGTGGTGTTATACGTATCACTATAGAGATTATTATTTCATTTACTGTAATGAATATTCTCAATATAAGCCAGTATACAACATCTGCAAAGAATCAAAAAAGATTAACTGAAAATGCATTCTTGATGGATAATTGTTTGGAGTTGGTACAATTTTTCTTTTAAGTAAATGGAAATTTCATGTTACTGTTTTCCAGAGTGCATTTCTGCAATTCAAATAGTAATGTCTTTCTTTCTTTCCATCACTGTAAGAAAGAGAAACTGTGCAACATAAAAGGTTTTAAAGAAGTGGTTGCAAATGTATGGTCCCAAAAGGAGCATAGTAGATGCTATCTGAGAGTGATAAAAGCAAAAGCCAAAGTGGACAAAATAGGAGGGGAAGGAAGGGAAACTACAGGAAAATTAAAAAACCTCAACACATTTGCCAGATATTTAAAGAAATAAATTTACTCCCTGTAAAGCTGGTACAGCATACAGTTTGTTGCATACCTGCAAGCTCTTACAGCCAGACTGACTTTTATGGCTGATACAGTTCCTAGCAATTTTTTTATGTGTGCTTTTATGTAAGGCTCTGCTTACAGTCCTTGCTGCAATAAAGCCTTTAGTTATATTAAATTTCTGTTAATCTTGTGGGAAACTATTCCTTCTATACAACAACTGCAAAAATGCTTGAGCATTCAACTAAAACCACAAACAACCCCTTTTACAGTATCAGTTGTGATTCAAGTGCACCTTGTATTACTCCTGGCATCTTTCTCCTGAGTTTCTATGTTGAAATTATGCCCTTGCCTACCTGTCATGCTGGAAGAACTGCTGTGAATGAGACATTATGAATTGTTTAGGTTACAGGAGTGCGATTTCTGTTATTGACAGCACGCGTAAACAATTCTTCACAACCTGGTTTCCTCCCCCTCCTGCCCCCTTTTTTAAGGCAGTCTGTTTTGTGTTCTTTGCTCATCATCCTGTTTCTTAGCCTTTATATCATACTGCCAAG